ATTATCCGTTTCAAACAATTTCCAACACCGAATCGCAGTGTTGGCATTCTGTCCAACAGGTTTCACCCCTGGAAAGAACCTAGTAACATTTTCTGAACTACTTCTAACGTCGGATCGTTTAGGTATGTGTGACCATGTTGTACCATTTTGACTAGTCAAATATTTGTCTTCCTCATCTGAATCAAGGCCTTCATTCTCTACTTCTCTATCTGTCATTTCTTGTTCCGTCTCACTGTCGAAACTTCTTTGGCTTACTTGATCCAAGTCATCATCAGTAGCTGAATCACCTGATGATTCACTTTCAACCTCCCCCCAAAGTTGTAAAAGCGGATTTTTATGCGACATTGCACTGAATTGGGGTACTTCTGTTGATAATTTGGCTCACATGCATACCCCTTGTAGTTCCTCTACCAAGTGGGCAAACACAAAGATTGCTTCCTGTACTCCCCCTGGAGCAGCTACTGTGGTGTACATCCAGATCCTCACTGGGCCATGGCTTAACCGCTGGGGGTTGTCGCAGCAGGGCCTGATGCTGCTGCCGCCGCTTCAAAGGCCAAGGCTGCCGCAGACAGTGCTGCCTCTAATGCGCCAAAGTGGCCGCGCACCCAGCGCGTGGGGAGGAGACATTGGCTGGCAGAGAGATCTATGTCTGAGCTGTGCCGCGCTGCCCGCCACTGTGCTCCAGCGATGCGCAGCAGCTGCGCCACCTGAGCTTTGCCGCAGGCCCACTCGCTGGCGTCCATCTACCCGCCCAACTCTGGGCCTTTATGTCCAGGGCGTAGCAATGAAGGGAAAGGAGTTCATCTTCAATGTCTCATGAAAAGAAAAAGGCGCGCTGTTTTACAGGAGGCCTACGATCAAAGAATCACGTTTGTCAGTCACGCCTCGCTTCCGGTGTTACTTCCGTGGGCCTGGATTGTGTCTAAAAAAATCAATTGCACAAAAATTTATTTAAAACATTTTATTACAGAAGTATTCTGTGAAAGCAAGAAATTAGAGAACTTTTTATAGCACATATGGATCTCTATGTCTATTATACCATTCCATGTATTAAGTTGAATGTTTATACAAAAGTTTTAAAGATTTATATGAGTTTATAATAGTGATGTTTTAAAATAATGCTATAACCGGGCATGGTTGCGCACACCTATAATCCCAGCACTTGGGAGGCTGAGGCAGGGGGATCACCTCAAGTTCAAGGCCAGCCTGAACTACAAAGCAAGACCCTGTCTCAAAAATTAATTAATTAATTAATGAACATAAAATAATGGTATAGAAGGGAAAGATTTGGTCTCCTGGTAGGAAGTTTGTTTCTGTCAAGACAATCTCGTGTTTAATGATACAGTGGCTTTCTACTGTTGAATAACTGCTATTTGTCGTGGTGGTGGAGTTAAGTAGGAGTTGGAAGTCTCCATCAGTTTTTTGGTACCAGGGATCAAACTCAGGTCCTTGCGCTTGCGAGGTAGGCTGCAGAACCACTGAGCTAAATCCCCAGCCCTACCATCAGTTTTATCACTTGTTAGTCTCATGTGGGAGTGCTAAGATCTAGGAAGCAGCCAACTGCAGAAACAATTCTGTGAAAACAGTGTATGGAGGATAGATAGTTTCAGCTTTCTCTGATCAGATAGAACATGGTTAGGTAAGACTCATGAGTCTAAGGTCCAATCTCACTCAGATCTTTTTTTTTTTTTTTTGGTAGCGGGGATTGAACTCGGGTCCTTGTGCTTTCGAGGCAGGTGGCGGAACCACTGAGCTAAATCCCCGGCCCTCTCACTCAGATCTTGCTCCATTTCTCCTTGCTGTGGATGTGTTAGACACTAAGACCTTACCTTCAGGTAGCAGATTTGGAGCCAGTGCAGCCTCATTTGACATCTGAATCTGTTCTTTCTTTCTCTAGCGGTTTCCAACCTAGATGAGGAGAGCCGATGGACAGTCCACTACACGGCCCCATGGCACCAGCAGGAGAACGTGTTCCTGCCCAGCACAAGACCCCCATGTGTGGAGGACCTGCACCGCCAGGCCAAGCTCAACCTCAAGTCGGTGTTGAGGGGTAAGTAAGGAGGGACTGTCGGCGAGCTCCAGGGACTGGCTGTTAGAACCCACAACAGGACTGCATTGCTCTCTGTGAAAGGTCTCCTTTACTGAATATATAACATGCCAGAGCTTCATAAATATAACCTAATATGTGCCAAAAATGCTCTGGTCCCTGGAGCAACTCGCTTATTTACAGATAGGCAAATCCATCTTCAAAGAACCCACTCCTGCTTGGAAACCCTTGTGCCGCATGCTTAAATCTCTTGTGCTGATTTAATCCAAAGAAATTCCTGCTGACAAGGGAAAATTTGCCACTGCCTTTTAAAAGTCAGTGTTAGTACTTAAAGCCAATTTGTCCTAGCTGGCACTCCCTAGTGGTATGTTCCGTGTAGTGTAAGTTCAGGCAGGTGTGCCCAACCTGTGGGCTGCTTGCCCTGCTTATTTTTAATGTTACAGTAAAAAGTATTTAAAAGTAAGAAGTTTTGTTACTGATATACACAACCATATTATATATTTTATATGTGCCCCAAGACGGTTGCTCTTGTATGACCCAGGCAAGCCAAAAGGTTGGACACCCGCGGAAAGGAAATCAATACGTAGACTTTGAAGCAACACTAAATAGTTTATTTATTGGAAATTGGGTGGCATCAAGCTGGGCTCCCCCAAACCAGGGGTCCCCAGGCAGATAGGCAAGGCAGGCAGTAATCAGAAAATGTAGGAGTGTATTCCCATGTGGAATGTGAAACTCCCACTTTCACTTATTGTTGGTGTTATAAAGAATAAATGTATGCTATGTAGGGCTTCCTAAAGATGACAAATAAGGAAGACAGTTCTTCAGAGAGAAAGGAGACATTTGTAAAATACAGAGAGTTCTTCATGAAACAAGGAAGTGAAGTTCTTATCCTACCAGTAACTGCACCTGGCAGATTTCTCCTACCGTGCAATGTTTGGGACATAAGTATAACAGAAGAAGTATTTGTTGTTATTGAAATTTGATTAAACTGGGGCTCCTTCATTTCATTTGATTGTGGAGCGCTTAAATGTGGGAGAAATTCTGACACTGATTCAAGGCAACATAGCATGAGTGTCTCTTTAATTTTTTATGAGAATTTTTACCTCTGTACCAATCTTCTATTAGGTGATTCCTTCTTTGATAAACCATCATTGGAGAGCACTTATTAAACACTTAACTGTAACACCAGGTGCAGAGCTAAGCCCTTTATACCCATCATCTAATTCTCACAATAATCCTGTCCTCACTTTCACTATGCCCAGATGAGGAAATAGATTAGAAACTTGCCCAAGAGCTCAGCAGTTACTTAGCAGTAGGGACGAGGATTTAACATGGACAGTCTGAGGCTGTAGGCTCATTTCTTACCCGGTACATGAAACTAGGTTCAGCAGCTGTTTGTTAGAAATCTATTCTTCTGGGTGAAGTGCAGAATCAAAAGGCAGAGTCCTAAGAATTTAAACTTGTGCCTATAATGTAAATCACATTGTGGGAAATGCTCCAGAGATACACCAAAAATTGCGCTGTGGAAATTCAAGTAAACAATTTCTGCTTGAAGACAGAATAGCTATCAGTAGACTCACCAGAGCTTTGGTATTGTATTGTTTTTGTTTTGGTTTTTTGGGGGGATAGGGTGTCACTATGTAGCCCGTCAAACTCAGAGATCTTCCTGCTTCAGCCTCCAAGGATCTAGGATTATAGGCATGCACCCCCACACCCCATTTCTTTTTTAATACTTTACAATGCTTAGATTACCTCATGCATCTGGCAGTATCTCATGTCTTATAGTTGTAGCATTGGATTGCCCAGAAACGAGAGCGTTATTGTGTTTCCTTTTTCATTTGGTCTGAGTAACCTCTATGCTTAGTGACTTCAAGTTTAACCAGAGGGATGGGATCAGTGTAGCCCATTTGTAGGCCTTGGAGTTGTGCCTTGAGCTTCATTCCCCTCACGACACTGGTTGTTCAATGCACCTAAGTCCAAACAAACTTTTCTTCTTATGGGTTTCCAGTGACGCTCACCTTGCTCCCTGGCGATGACCGAGACATTGAGTAGCTGAGGCAGTGCTGGCTTCCGCTCCTGGGCGGTTGCTGAAGGTGTGTGCCGTTCGCCCTTTCAGGCCCTGCTGTTTTGATCACTCTCCAGGGAAGTGTGCCTCGCCGCTGAGTTCGTGTGTGTTCACATTCCGGGTCAGGACTTGCCTGCGCTTAGAGACCAAACTTCAGAATGCAGATGAACGCTTTGTTTTCTTTCTACTCAGTACCTCCTTGTAGAAGTTTCACCACTGGCTTTGCCCAAACTTGAATTTTATTTTAAAAAGATAGATGGTTTTGTAATTGCTTTAGCGTCTTAAAAGCATTCATCAAAGGGATGTTCTATTAATAACATTAATAACCTTGGAAATTCTTGTGCTTTTAAAGACAAGATTGAAAAAAACCCTTAAGGGTTTTGAGGTAAATAACTTTAGGAGCAGTAGTTGGGAAGAGTGAAATGAGAAAGAACTTCTGAGTCCTTTTGTTCTTCATTATTTACTTTTAATCACATGTACAGAATATCATGTACACTTTCCTCACATCGTCTTAGCAACCTGAGATAAACACTGGGCAGAATATCTTCTACCTCACTGCCAGCGATGATAATAAAAAGATAGAAATAAAGAAAGACACTCAGTCACTGAACACCCCCGAATCTGTATACTATTAAAGCTTGATAATATATATTTCCTCATACTAAGTTAATTCAACCTGAACATTCTTTACTTAGAAATATAGGAAGTTAGCTAATTATTCACAGTGAGTAGTGTATTTTGTTCCTCCTTTTATTCTTACTGTCCATAATTTTAAGGAAGGAATGTTAAACAGGTAGGTGCTTTTTACCGTCATTAAATACTTTCTGTATGAATTATTTGTCAGTTTTTATGGAAAGCTAGGCTCTCCTTGTAAAGATCACAAAATGCAAAGGGAGATGATATGGTGAGTTCTAATAGATCAGTAACCAACCGTGTAAGCATATGCTTTGTAACCTGCAGCTACTACTGACTCATGTTGGTTTCATGCATACCATTCATAGGTCCTCAAGACCCATAAATTTAATCTAATTTTTTATGAAAATATTTATGCTACACTTTTACTTGTAAATGTATTATGTAAGTATTTATAACATAAACAAAATTAATTTTCAAAACACACAGGACAAAGGTTATTTTTTTTTGGTGCTGGGGATCGCACTCAGGACCTTGCGCTTGGGAGACAGGCGTGGTGCCACTGAGCTAAATCCCTGGCCCCAGGACAAAGCTTTTTACAACACTCATTCCAAATTGGCATTTTGCAGGCATCACACTGGATAGCAGTTTTTCTGTCCTCGCTGCCGGGCTAGATAGCACATGTTTTTCTTTGGTCAGTAAGCTGTCTGGGCTCTTCTCTAACAGATTCTCCATTCCCAGGACTTGTGCTATAAGTTTTCATGCTTTTATGGGCATGTGTTTAGTAGTCATTCTGGAATGAAGATCTCCCTTTGTTAACTGTATCCCAAGGGTTTCAGGGAAGCCCAGGAGACTCACGTGACTTTCTTCCCCGTAGCATCGCAGACACTGATCATGAATTTCATGCACGCTGAATTAAGTACTCTTCATGGTGGGAGGCTATAGAAACCCTGAGCCTGCAGTGTTGACAAATGAAGAAAACAGAGCTTTTAAAAATGCATTGGGTCCTCAGGACCCACCTGTAGTAGCTGCGGGTTAAAGTAATGTGGAAATGTTCAGTAGCAGTCAAGTGACTGAGGAAGACAGGTTGCTGGGAAATGTTTTATGAAAACGCTAAGTTTAAGTTATTACCTACAGGCAAGTAATAGACCCAGTTTAATCATTATTTGAGTATTAATTCTGTACTGTGCCAGGGATATTAAAATGAACTGATGACAGTTCATGGGCCCCCAACTTTAAAGGGCTGATGTGTGTAAAAACACAGTGGTGCTGGGCATGGTGGCGCCTGCCTGTAATCCCAGCAATCTGGAGGCTGAGGCAGGAGGATTGCCATGTGTTCAAGGTCAGCCTGGGCTACATAATGAGTTCAGTGCCAGCCTGAAAAACCAAAACTGTCTCAAAAAACCAAACCACACCACATTGGTGCAAGGCATGGCAGGTGCACAGGGAGAGCCAAAGGAGCATTGAGAGAGCTCGCCCTCCCTCGTGTGCACTCCCACATTGCCAAGGAGATGGGCCTCCCAGATGTATAAGGTAGCAAAGCAGCACCTGGGGCAGGTGATTTCCAATGGTATTTCACTTGGTACCAGACCCAGCAGAGACCTTTTGCGTAGGCTGTTGATGGTCTCTGGAGAAGACTTTGTGGTTACTCTTCAGTTCAGTATCTTGGTTTTGATTTGTTACTGGAGATTTGCATAATTATTACTGCTAATGAAGATACAAGTATGACTGAGATTTAGAACAGTGTTTTGCTGTTTGATTGAACAAGACGGCTGGCTTGCAGTGCATAGTGAAGGTGGATCCCATTGTCATGAAGAGTTCACTCAGCATCTTACTCAATTTCTAGAAGACTTCTACCCATTTTACCTCCAGAACTGTTTGAACTCTTTCTGAACTGCATTGGAGATAGATGTGATAATAAGTGACCTTTTCTAACTAGACTGTTTTAAAATCTGCATGTCTTTTAGCTTTACCTTTGAAAGAGCCTCAATGAAGTGGAAACTAAGGAGGAATTGAGAACAAGGGATAGGCTCTAAATGGTTCAGAATTTGATTCTTATATAGAGTTCTTTTTTCATTTTTATTAGTACATGTTTGCAGTACCTAATGATTACTTTCCTGTGCGGAGTTGGTCCATGCACATAACACATCTTCATTCTTTTTTCATCTCCTTTTCTTCCCCTCCTTTTCCCCTTCTCTCCACTCAACTGATAGACTTCTTTTGACAGTTGTGAGCATATTAGAGACTGAAATAAAGATGTATCATGTTTAAGTCTCCATCTCCAAAAAGCCCCACTTAAGAGAGA